TCAAAGTAAATCCAAAAAAATTAGAATTGCAACTAGGAAGGATATAATTGTAGAAGAATTTAAATTTTTTCTCGGTTTGTTGTTTCATATGGGAACCATAAAAATTATTCGTATGAATGCTTATTGGAAGAAAAATCATTTGTTTAGTATACCAGTATTTGGACAATATATGAGCCGAAATATATATATATCACCGAGCCGCAAGCCCTTATCTCTTGCCGTACTGCTCCACTATAGGCCGGTCAGATCCCAGCATATCCTAGTCTAAGCCGCAGATTCATCTAGAATTTTAAACTGCTGCGTTAGACTTTTTGTTTTCTGTACACCGAGCTGGGGCTCGATCCCACATCCACTGAACCATTCGACAGTGAAGCGAATGAGAGGCAGCCACACAGCCCGCTGAGCTATCTGACTGACAGCCGAAATCGCTTTATGTTAATTTTGCGTGCCTTCCATTTTAATAATAATAGTGACAATACCCAGTCAAGACTTGCCAAGCTATCTCCATTGTTAGATTTTTTAATAATAAAATGTTGCCCTGGACGAATCTATGATTTTGTGGAAAGAAAGTCTTAGCTTTCGTCAATTTCTCAAGAGCAACCGACATAAATATGAACTCAAACTGTATACTTTGGCAGAATGTACCGGAATGATTCAACGCATATTAGTTTATAGTGGAGCTAGTGACCCTGTAGTTGGAGGACGTAATCACGGAAACAGTAGTGCCAAATTTGATGGATTCGAAATTAAATGTTGGTCACTCCTTATATATGGATAATTCTTATAATAATGTTCCATTGTGTAAAAAACTAGTTTCGGTTAAAACGTATTTTACAGGAACATTGAGAACAGAAAGAGTGGAAAATCCACACGAAGTTGTTTCTTGAATATTAAAACAAAATGAACTTGAACTTGAACTTGAATATTAAATGGAAAGTTCAGCGAGATATTTTAATGATCTCTTCCGTATTTGGTCATGAAATGGTTCTATCAATATCTAGGAAAGGAATTAGATAAAGAAAAGCGCAGTTGAGTCACTGAATATAACAAAAATAAAAGTGGCATTGACTTAGGCGACCAGATGATAAATTATTATAGTTGCGAACACAAAACTATGAGGTGGTACAAAAAAATAGGTATAAATATTTGTCAAATTAAGCTAATTAACGCATACTATTTCTATAATAATTCTAATACAAAAATGTCATTGTACGACTATCAATTGTCGGTGCTTGATAGTCTTTTGTGACTAAACCCCAGTCTTTTGAGACTAAACTAAAGTCAAGAAAAATTTGACGTTTCATTTGCCAACACATTGCCCTAAATCAGCTAATGGTATTACAACACAACGAAGGTGTAAATGTTGCTGGCAAACTAATAAATAAAGAAAGGACTTATGGTTTTATTGTACGAAGTGCCCTGAACATCCGGGATTGTGCTTAGAAAATTGTTTTAGGTTTTTCATGACGAAATTGAAAATTAGGTAATTAGTTTGTTTTCTTGATGCTGTTGCCATTTAATAATTACTTACGATAGTTATCTAGGTTCATAATTATATTTTTTCTCAATCAGATTAATATTATTTTTTTTAAGTTCAACCGACACATTTTCTGCTCTGGGCCACCAACGCGACTCACGCGATGAGTTTTTTTTTGTGAGCAAGTTAATTTTTTTTTGTAAACATAATTATTATAAATGACTTTTTAAAGCGCACCTTAAAAATTAATTGTTTACATGAATATATCTTAGTGGACCACTGTTTTTCCTTAAACAGTTAACACTTCTCTTCCTCTTTTCTCTCTAGTCATAATCATTCATTTTAGGCAAAGAAATCGGTGAAATATCATCCATCCTTTAAATATGGTGCGTAGAAAAAACTTATTATTATGTAATACAGATAAATTAAGACATTTTTAATTAAATCATTCTCTTTAAATTTAAAATAATTTAAACTTCACTGACTTAAAAGAAAATGCTCTGAGTATTGACCGGAACGTTCTTTTAGAACTACTCGTGTAATTGAACGTTTAGGCCGGTCGTCCTTTGGATGCGTTTTCGTCCGAAATATTTTCGTCAGAAATCGGAGGAATAATTTCGTCAGATTTCGCATATGTGGTATCGTCCACTATAGACAAGTTTTCGCATTGTACGAAGTCAGTCATATGTAGTAATTTATCAAATAAGCATACGATAATAATTATTAATACTTAATATGGATCATATTCTTTTGGAAAATAGTTACCTTGTTAGACGGCGATTAAAATTAAAAAGAAAAAAATGTTGGGTTAATGACATATTAGCAAAACGAAAAGAATTCGGAGAATTTCATCATTTATATGATGATTTGAAAAAGGACGAGAAAAAGTTTTTTGATTACTATCGCATGAATCAGGATACATTTAACTATATTTTAGATGCCATAAGAGAACCAATTAAAAAAATGTCGAATTTCCGTGAGACCATTTCACCAGAAGAACGATTGAGTGTGACTCTAAGGTAAGTTATAATAAATACAGTAGTTGCAACATTTCCAATTTTATTATTAAAAAATACAAAGAAAAGAAATACATTGTTTTATGCGCTGAAGTGAGTAATATAGTTCTGAATGGATAACGGCTGTTGAGAGGAAACATCTTCTCTTCTTTCACTTGAATATTGTGAGACCACGGAAGATTCTGTATTTTGCAAAGATGAAGAATGATGTGGTGTTGATATTAAGTCATTACAATAGAATGACGCTCTGGAGGAATCGGTGTCTGTGTAAGACATTGGAGAAGGCAACGGTGTTGATGTAATTGTTTCATTGGAACGATATGATGCTCCGGGCGCGTGTCTTGTAGATAATTGCTCCTCATCAAGAAATACTTGCTCCAACTTACTTCTTATTAGCATTTGTCGATTTTGAGGTACAGCCTTTAAAAAGGGCAGGAGACTGAGTAGGAATTGGCGTTCACTGTCACTATCTTCTCTATTTTTATGTTGGCACAATATTTCCAATTTGGCTCTTTCTATTTCGAGGAACTTGTCGTCCATTGAATTTGCCTCGGAATTCCTAGCATATTTTAGACGACTGTTTGTGTTTTTCTTAGTTTCCATAGTTGTACTACTAGGTGTACTGAATGTACTTTTAACCTCATTACCAGATGTGGATGGCTGCTGTATATCTGTATTTACAATTTGCTGTGATGACTCTTGAATGGTTGATTGAGAGTATGCATTGTCTGCATCAGGCTCCAATGTCGATTCTGTTTCGGAATAAGAGTTGTTATTGTCTTCCTTTTGCGGAGATATATTTCCATGCAGTTTACGTCGTTCAACAGTTTTAGATAAAAACAACAGTATTTTATAATATGGCCATTTGGAGGTAACTACCGATTCTGCACCATCTCCAGATTTCTGTTTTTTCGACTTGTTGAATTCCTTCCGGAATGTGTCTCGCAGCCCCCTCCATTTATAGTTCATCAACTGAAACAAAAAAAATCGTTACAAATTAATCACGTTTTTTTTTTCATTTCAGGTATTTGGCAACGGGCTCCTCGTTTAAGACATTGGGGTATTCGTTTCGAATATCAGATGTCACGGTGGGTAGAATTGTTCACGAAACGTGTGATGCTATTTGGGACAAGTTGGGTACTGTACATATGCCATTTCCGAAAAATGAAGACATGGAATCTATATCTGAAGGATTTTGGAATAAGTGGAAATTTCCAAACTGTGTTGGATGCATAGATGGGAAACACATACGCATACAGAATCCAAAGCACTCTGGAAGTATGTATCGAAACTACAAGCAATACTTCTCAATTGTTTTACAAGCTGTGGCTGGACCAAACTACAAATTTATAGCAATTGATGTGGGAGCGTACGGTAAAGAAAGTGATGGTGGTATTTTTTCGCATTCAAATCTTTGCCAAAAGCTTGAAAACGGAGGATTAGGTGTTACAAGACATTGTGCACTGCCGGGAACAAATATTAAAGTACCTCATGTTCTTTTGGGAGATGAAGCTTATCCACTAAAAACTTATTTAATGAGACCTTTTCCAGTATCAAAATTAGGACCTTCAGAAATAATTTTTAATGAGCGTTTGTCTCGAGCAAGACAAGTTGTTGAATGTGCATTCGGAATTATGAGTAGCAAATAGAGATTATTACAAAAATCAATTGAAGTAAATCCCGAATCTGCCGATAAACTTATTAAATGCATATGCCTCTTGCATAACATTATAATTGATAAAGAAGGAGAGCAACAAGTAGCATGTACATTCGAGCAAATCCCTCATCAAACACATTCAAGAACGGGAAGATTTGGAACCTTGGGTGAAAACAGAGGCACCAGTTTAGCTTATGACATCAGGGATAAATTTAAAACTTATTTTTCATCTCAAGAATTGTATAATGCATAATTTAAAATCAATAAAATATTCAAATACATTTTGGATTTCAATGAGCCTTACCCATATATGCCTTTTCTACATTATAAACAACAAAGACAAATATTTTGTTTGTTTGCAAATACATATATCATAGGTACCTGACACCTAAATTTGATTTAACTTACCCTTAGTATTCATTTCAACTGCCACTTCTTGCCACAATTTTCTTTGTATATCTCTCATGTGATATGATTTATCGGTCATATCCCATAGAGGCTTTTTTTCATAAATTAAAGTAATTAATTTTTCAACATCCATCTCGTTCTGTTACAAATACAAATCGACTATCAATTCGTCATAACAACTGCGAAAAATCCCATTTGTTTCGGATAGATCGCACTTCGCATGTTTTCGTCCGAATTCGTACGAAGCAGTTCGGACGCAGTGTACGAGCATCAATAGGTTTCAATGAAACGGGATGCTTCGCACTTCTTCGTCCGATTTCTGACGAACGCAATTCGGACGAAAACGCATCCAAAGGACGACCGGCCTTAATGTTGTATAGAATCGACCTTTTTCCTCCGTTTTATGTTAACACAAACCTAAGTGGTAGTTTAATGCTCTTACTTGAAATATTCCGAAGCAGCTGATGCAAAGCGGGAGTCCGATGGACCTGATATTTCTGCAAACTCGGACCGATTGAAGTCGGAATAGTTTCTAGTTGGAAATTCAAACTGAAAAAAATATATATACAGACAAAAATATATGATATATTGAAAATAAATAAGTATGTTTTTTTATAAGAAAAAGAAGTGTAATAAGATCGTTGATTAAATTACTAAAAACAAAAACAATTAGTAAAAACCTGCTTTTGCAGAAAGCATATTTATGTAATTCTATCCAAAATGGTAATATATATATATATATATATATGTATATATATATATATTATATATATATATATATATTTATCAAATATATATATATATATATATATATATATATATCGCAAAAAGGAGTACGACCGTCTATCCAATATATAATAAGGATCACTCAGACGAGTGGTGGGTTCAAATATCGGTCTACTAGGTGGAGAAATAAAAGACAAAGTTGATACTACTTCATCTATTTTGAAGACGTTTCGCTATCGAATTCTGATAGCATCATTTAGAGACTTAGTAAAAATTAGCAAAGCAACTGAACGCGTGGTCTAATAAGCATATAATATTTTATATAATATTAACTAGTGAAAAAGAACTAAGAAAATCATTGATTCACTTCCAACTATGCAAAAATTTTATTTTATGACTTCATCTTAACTTTTGGTAGCATTATTTAAGTTATCTACGTTAAGATATAATTTTTTTTTTATATATATTTTTTATATCTTAACGTAGATAACTTAAATAATGCTACCAAAAGTTAAGATAAAGTCATAAAATAAAATTTTTGCATAGTTGGAAGTGAATCAATGATTTTCTTAGTTCTTTTTCACTAGTTAATATTATATAAAATATTATATGCTTATTAGACCACGCGTTCTGTTGCTTTGCTAATTTTTACTAAGTCTCTAAATGTTGTTAGTTATTTAATTGTTTATACAATATCACCATATGATATTTTCATATGGTGAGTCCATTTTTTTGAGTTTTTGTACTATCTTTTTAATACCATTGATAACTACATATTTTTTTAAAGGTAACATTTAACATCTTCTTCATGAATGTGTGGTACTCATAATGTAAAAATTTTTAGATGAACTGATGATGCTATCAGAATTCGATAGCGAAACGTCTTCAAAATAGATGAAGTAGTATCAACTTTGTCTTTTATTTCTCCACCTAGTAGACCGATATTTGAACCCACCACTCGTCTGAGTGATCCTTATTATATATATATATATATATATATATATATATATATATATATAAATATATATATATATATATATATATAAATATATATATATATATATAATATATATATATATATATTATATATATATATATATAAATAGACTTCGGCAAATATGCATATTGCATATTTTGCATATTGTGCATATTTTATGCAAATATTTCATATTTTGGCATATTTGTATAAAAGTTTGCATAAAGTGCATAAAAGTTCAGATTTTTATACTGTATTTGAAAATTTTTAAACATACCAATTTATTTCAATTCTTGTATAAAATTTTGTAGTGATTTTAATCAAGAAATGATCTAAGTACGTAATCTCTACAGGTACAAAACATTTACAATTTCAAAGATCAATTTAAGTAGCCCTCAACATTCTTAGAAAGTCTCGGTCACTGAGGCATTCAGTTATTGGATAATCGCTAAGGGTTCGCTCATTTGCATTTTATGATCTAATCCCCAAATCTATCTACAATTTATTGTATCTTAACAGCAGGTAAACGACTAATGGTTTTGTTCCTAATTTAGGGATTTTCCAAAATCTCCCAGTTTATTGAATTTGGTACCTAAACATTTCTAATTTGATGCTCAGATTTGTAAATCATTTTTGTTTTGATATTCAAAGCGTAAACACTCGTTGTGCGTAAAAAAAGGAAGATTGTGATTTTATAATGCCTAAAACAACCAGTGCTTCAACTTGGATTAAACCTTATAAAGAGCTGTCTATGGATATGGGAAAAATCTACTGTTCAGTCTGTGGCAAAATTGTAAGTATCTAATATTTTCTATTAAATATCTAATATTTCATACATACAGGGTGTTTCCAAATGACACTTACAACGTTTGACTGTTTTCGAGATACAGGGTGTTAAAATTAAAAAAAATTAAATTCTTTTAGTTAATACCAACAATAACTTTAAAACCAATAAACGTATTTACTTGAAATTTAGTACTCGTAGGTTGTTTTTAAATGAAAAATAGCTTCCTTTAGTGAGAAAAAATTGTCCATGGTACAATACAATGGTGTGTATTTAGAAAAATTTTTCACCTTTACTTTTTTTTATGAAGTCAGCTATTCTAAAACACAATTATTTTTATTGTAATTAAATTAACAAAAAAAAACTTTTGTTGAATTTTAAAATAAGTTATATGATGTACTAATGGTTAGTAACAAAAACTAATTTGTGGAATAATACTGCATTTAAAACACTTAGCGAGTGTTTTTTTTCCAAACCAGTTATTTGATTAACCAAAAACACCTTGTATATTTTTATATTTTAAAGGTTGGGTTAAAATAAAGGTTTTTATTTTTATTTATAGATAGCATGTGAGAAGAAATTTCAGATAGACCAACATGTGAGAACTGCTTCACACATTGCAAAAAAAGGAAAAATAGGAGGAAAACATCAAACTTCAATGGCTAAATGTTTCCAATCTACTTCAAAAAAATTAGATGAACAAGAAACTTTTAATGAAGACTTGTGTCGCGCATTAGTGTCTGCAAACATACCGCTTTCAAAATTAGCAAATGTAAATTTTAGTTCGTTTCTAAAAAAATATTGCAAACTTAATATTCCAAGTGATCGGTCTCTAAGAAAAATAATGTGAACGGGCTATACTCGTCGGTGTTAATTAATATTAAGGAAGAAATTGCAGATAATTATTTTTACATATCTGTAGACGAAACCACTGATTCCTCAGGAAAGTATATTGCTCATTTATTGATTGGTGTTCTTAAAGAAGATACCTTACCAAAATCTCATCTTATTTCATGCCAGCAACTTGAGAAAACAAATGCTCTAACAATTTCGCGTTTTATACAAGAAACATTAGTAACTTTTTTTCTTCCGACAAATATTCCTTCTAACAAATTACTGCTTATTTTATCGGATGCTGCTCCTTATATGGTGAAAGCAGGACAAAATTTAAAAATATTTTTTACAGATTTAATACATGTTACTTGTGTAGCGCATGGATTAAACAGAGTTGCAGAGGAAATACGAAAAAAGTTTCCTCTTGTAAATACCATGATATCCAGTGTCAAAAAAGTATTTCTTAAATCTCCTATAAGAATTCAACTTTATAAAGAAATGCTACCTAACATTCCTCTTCCACCACAACCTATTTTAACGCAATGGGGAACATGGTTAGAAGCAGCTAATTTTTATGCAGCTCATTTTGTTAAAATAAAGAACATAATTGATACGTTAACAGATGAAAGTTCCCATTCTCTTTGGATTCTAAACAAACTTTTCAGAGTAACTTGCTTCAACAAGAACTTTCATTTATAAAATCAAATTTTAGTTTTGTTCAAAAAACAATTACTCAGTTAGAATCACCAAAACTGTCATTGTTCGAAAGTACAGCATTAATAAAAGAATTTGCGTCATGTTGTCGGAACGTTAGAGGTAATATTGGAAAAGATATTTTAAAAAAATTTGAAGCTACTATGAAAAAAAATAAAGGTTACCATATTCTTTCTGAAGTAGTCAGTGTTCTAGCTGGAAATATTTCGGAAACAATTAATTTAGAACCAAATGTTTTGGTTAGTTTGAAAAATGCTCCCGTTACATCAGTTGATGTTGAACGAAGTTTTTCCATATATAAATATATGTACTCAGACAGAAGCCACAAGTTTTTGTTAGAAAATTTTGAACACCACTTGGTCATTTATTGTTACCATAATTCTAAATAAGTTTATTCATACTTAAAAATGATGTAGTTACTTAAAATAAATGTAAATCTTAATGAACAGTAGGAAATATTTAGTTATGTACACTTTTTTTTAAATAAAATTGTGACTATTTTACGATTTTTTTATTTATTTGTATGCATATTTTGTAAAATATTTGCAAATTTTCGGGTAAACACGTGCATATTTATGCGCATATTTTCTACATTTTTATTTGCATATTTGCCGAAGTCTATATATAAATATATACGAGTAAGTTATTTTGTTTCAAGATGTTCGCTGACAGTTTATTCCTAAGTCGTCAATACGAGTATTACGTTAACAAGTTTATGATTAATTTAAGAGATAAAATGTAAAGTTAAGGTTCTAATACCTGTACACTATAGGTATGGCTAAATGTATGCTTTTGTCAAATAGGTAAATATACAATAATAATATAAAACAACATGTGGGAGTTTTTTATTAGTTCTCCTATCAGTCGCAATACCCTGCGAATGGAGGATACTCCCTGGGTATTTTTAGTTTTAATACCCAGAGAGTATCAGGAATACCTGCCGTGGAACAAAGACTCACACCCGGCAATAGATATAAAATGCACACCCGTGAAAATGGAGATCAATAATTTATTGTATTTCAAATCCTTTATAAAAGGTATATAATAAAATGCCCAAACGGGCTATCACAATTACATTACAGAACGTTTTCGGAATGTTAATTCCATCATCAGTGTAAACGGAGTATACATGCTATGAGCCACCAAAATATATGGGTCAAAACCCTTTAAATGTTATAAATTTATAGTTGTTTTACATTGTTTATAATTACAAATTAGGATGTTTAAGTTACCGTTGGGATTGGTAACATGGCGACATATGACCCCACATAGGTTATATGGTCCTGAGACGAAGTGTATTCCAGGACCTGTTGATAACAACTGTTATCAACAGGTCCTCGAAGTTTTGGTGGCTCATAGCATGTATACTCCGTTTACACTGATGATGGAATTAACATTCCGAAAACGTTCTGTAATGTAATTGTGATAGCCCGTTTGGGCATTTTATTATATACCTTTTATAAAGGATTTAAAATAAAAATTTTTGTGATACATGGTATACAGCCAGTTACAGGA